TATACATAAAACACCAACATGAAGCTTTAATATCTCTATATGTTTTTGTTATGTATATAGTATAAATGAAATGAAAATCCTCGAGAATCCAACTCGAGAATCCAACTCGAGAATCCAACTCGAGAATCCAACTCGAGAATTCAACTCGAAAATCCAACTCGAAAATCCAACTCGAAAATCCTAACTCTGTTGCTAGTATATCTCATTCGTTCTTAGTACGCGCTTGTCAGCAAAGATGCGTACTGAACTAGCTAAAGTTCACAGCATCCTTTTGTATTTTCCAAAAAAGTCACCCAAACAACGCTATTCGGCGTCTTTTCTGACATGCATTATCCAGACGGAGTAGAAGTGTTGATTGTCAAGGAATTTATGGAAAAGACTATTGTTAAAATGTCAAATACTTTTACAAAAACTAAAAAAGAATTCGCTTGGATTTATGGAAATTGTGGATTGGCATGGATACGTTGCATAAATCTACTCTATCGGTTAAGACGCTATTCCGCGTCTTTTCTGACATGCATTATCCAGACGGGTTCGAAATGTCATTGTCAGGGACATCAGCAAATTGAGGAGATTCTTTAAATGTCAAATACTTTTTTAAAAACTCAAACTTTTTTCATTTGGATTTATGCAAACCTCAGGACGCGGAATGACATGGATGCATTATGTAAATCTATGACTCCATACATCACGATAAGTAAAAACAAACGCATGAAAACGCCGAGTCAGTTTTAGACTTTCCAAAAAATATAGCCTCCAGACCAAAACTACTTTTAGCGTCCTTGCTGACACGCGCTTTCCAGACGAGGTCGCGCAGGGATGATTACTGGACGCGGACGCAGCTTGTGTAATTCAATAGTACAAAATCAAMCCAACGCCGGGTTTACAGGGTTACTTTGTGGTAGTTTATTTCTAGCTCAATTCATTAAACGAATGGCTATCGCTTGCTTTGAACGATTATCGAGTATCTTGTTAGACTCCCACTTTAAACCACAAACAGCCAACGCACTAGACCGCGAAAAAAACCCTGCATTTAGGGTGGAAATTAAATTAAAAACGCAGTGGTTTGGTTGATGTTGATCCTTCAAAACGTTGTGTGAGCATCTTTGCATCGTTCTTTGTTCAAATTTACTGCAGTGCATCGAATAAACGTTTTGTTTGGTTATGTTATTTTATTAGGCCTTGTCCGCACTGATTCGTTTTATCAATGCGTTTTCAATGGGTTTTCAGTGCGTTCTTGTATTTTTGAAAACGCCTTCGCGGAACAGGTCAATGTGACAGACTTTATATCTTTTTTTCATTCTTATACAAAAGCGCGAGCCCCACAAAAATCATTAGAACTTTGACAGGGACTCTCATTTGATTGAGTATTAATTAATTTAGTTCTGTATCAATGTCATGAATGCTTTGAATTTTAAGGGGATTTGCTGTCTTCACTTTAAACTGTTGTAGAAAACMAGTYTGTTTGCACACTGCGCTCAGACGGTGACAATTCTGGTGCTACAAGTTTCGTTATCCTACATTCTTAAGTAGATATATAAAAATTTCATTAATAGAAATTAATTCACCAAATAGCCATCATATTCATACGCCTTAGTTATGTAGCTAATGTAAAAGACGTCAATTTAACAGTAGCTCAGAGAGTAATTTGTCAAAAGCCATCTTGATAGCCCACACACCAACATAGCGTAAATTACAAAAAAGACAAAAATAGTTGCTTGCTTGGTTTCCGGCTCGACTGTAGCAAATAACTTTCAAAATCAAGCAATTTTAAGTATCTACTTATTCTTTTGTCTGTTATTGTCTGGCAAAACGAGAAATGCGTTTTTTTATTGTCAAACTAGATCAGGGCGTGACAGTCCGACTGGGGCATTCAGTCTCCGCGTCGGTACTTGACTCTGAACCATTCTCAAAGTACAAACGAAAACAGACCGTCGAGAGTTAGCTAAGCGTAGACACTGTTTGCTGAATCAAATACTGTAATCTCTTCAAACATCTGTTTGTCGATTTTACTTGAATAATTGATCCCAGCACGGATCATAGTTAACATTCTTATCCTTTTAAAGCACATTTCAAGAGTGAAATGACATGTAAAGACTTATAAGGACTTGTTTAAAAGGTCCATGTTTGAACACTTCATTGTAAAAACATTTAAGTCATCTTAAGTAGATTCTAGATTTCTTTATAGAACTAAGCGCGCAAACTATAAGCTATCATGCTTCTCTGCTAAACCGAGAAATGACAAATGATTTTCCACTTGACCTCATTTTAACGACATTAACGGAAATCTCTACCATTTTAACTTTGCACAAAAGCACTACAAACAGAATCAAGAAATAATTCTTTTTTCAAGGTCTACTAGAAAAATRGCAATTGAATAATAAAATCAGTTTTTTCATACTTTCCATGTCAGATAAATTCAGCAAAAGTRTTTGCGCTTTCAAGCAGCCAAATTCTGTTGCGTKTTCTACTTAAAATGCACAATACGTCCAATCATACAGTCCCAAAATGAAAGCCCTCTTTTTAGTCATTCTAACAATGWATTAACTGGTTTTTCGCGGAAAATCATATTATTTAGTAATCTTACCTTCTAAAAGCTCATCAAGCATTTTGCGGATCTCAGCCCCTGAGGTGAGACATAGGAACCCAACCAGGAGGGTCAAAAGGAGGATTTGTCTTGAAATCATGATGRCTGGTTATTCTTTCTGTGAGAGTCAGAACTGCAACTGCTTTAGCTGGATGATCAGCGCGTTTATATAACTGAATACGTACAATGTGGGGGCATTAATAACAGTATATCCGGSTCGTTTCTATGGCAACTAGGGGTTATTTAAGACGTAGTATAGTATGAGGTTATAATTATCATAATCCGAAGAATGCACGCCGTCCTACTGGTGCTCGAGACGTCATCATACCGAATACAAGGTGGAACAAAGCTGATATCAAAATAARAACTGATCTTATGGAAGAAATATTTACTGAATTTAACGTACAAGACTATGAAAGATGGGTCTGTCACATTGAATGTTTTAAGTTCATCAGATATAACATTTTATCATACACTTTATCAAAAACTGTTGAAGAAAAACAATTGGTTTGTATTTTTTCTATGTTATATAAAAGATCTGTCAAATTTGAAAATCCGTTGTTAGGCTCGTTTTCTTAAACGCCAGATAACCGCAAAGGTTTAACTCAGAATCTTGCTTTGATCTTTTTAACAGATCTCGTTTGTATTGATTAATGATATATGTRAGAGGCTCTGGCTAATATAAGACCATTATTTGACAACGTTTACCCGGTTTAATTTCAGCAAAATTCACGTTAATATTAGAACTGAATCACAACAATCAATAGCTTATTTTCGATCATAACTCAATAAAAACCATAGTGACACAGTTGCATTATACACAAAAATATAACTCAAACATCGTTTAAATTCAGTTCTAGGGTTAAATCAATATTATTTCAAGGAATTAGGGAAATAATAACTAGGCGTTTCTGTTTAAATTAGTAATTGACGTGAATTTTCAGGATGTTTAAGGTTCCTSTGAARGTTGATTTATTTTCWGTAGACGAGACTGACATTTAATCCAGCGGTAACTCGACCTCAACGTCAGCATAGAATAAACGACCGATACAAAAAAAGAAAGTTTCAGTTAACCGCGTTTTTCTTGAAGGGCAAGCATTTCCCTAGATCAATTTCCTTGTTGGCGTCTGACTATAATTAGTGCGAGCACTTCCCTTTCCTCGTGTTGGGTAATATAATTGGGCGTAGCCGCGARGGCTGGGACCAAATTGTTAGATTCTTAGCRATCAGTTACATTCAGGGCGGTAATGGAATGAGCACAATAATATCATGTAATTTATCTTAGATACGCTTTAATGGTTATGACAAGAAAGAACACTATAATAATATTTTAATGTGATAATTTAATCATGTTAAAAAAAAACAGTATTCACACAATTGTTCAATTCAGTGATGTGTTATAAGTTTGGAATGGAAGCGACATGTATTTTATGTTTTAGATGCCTGTTAGCATTTGCTTAATTTAATTTTTCTTACCAAGCAAATGCATTGAAAGCGAGCGAAATGGAGACAAAATGATGGAAATCAAAATTGGAGAAATATGTTTTAAATGTTAAAAAGTTAAGTCGATCGAGCGGAAATGTGGTTTAGTTTACTATCAAATATTAAAGAAGAGTTGAAGAGAAAAGAGGAATGAAGAGTAGAGAGGAAAACAGAATTTAAGAAACTGAATACTAAGGATGACAAGATATAGAAGAGGCTAAGTGGTAAAGGAACGAGTATAACGAAAGTATGAGGAAAACAAATACGGAATATTAATTAAGACTATGAATACAAGAGAAAGAAGCAAAAACTAAATTAAAACAACTGCTACAGTAAAAAGTCTATCCATTCATGACACAGCTTGTGCATGATCACCCATAATTAATTAAAATCGTGACCGTTAAGCAAACCAACATCACCGCACACCAACCAACATGGCGGCGACTCCAGCCACACGGTGGATGATAWCGTTTTGTTATGGTAACGCCGACAAGCTGTTTCTTAGTCACGAAACGGCTGTCACACTTCAACTTAACAATGTTACGTTGGTCTTTTGAAATCACGCTTATTGTTTGGATCTTACTCACTTCTTCAAGCATTGAATTATTTATTAGGTGGTCATCGCTACAAAAGGAAATATCGTGAATGTCACGTCCTAGTAGGAGGGAGTTATAAAAGCTAAGRAATCATCTCGCGTCAAACTATCCATCACTACGTCCAAGCTATCAAGASCATCATGGTTTCAAAGCAAACTACCCTCGCGTTTTTCTTGGTGGCCTTTGTCTGTCTTATCCAGTTAGGAAAGAGTCGACATCGACACCCTGCGCCCATCGCACCGCCCATAGGTATATGTACATTTTTTTTGACACTAAAGTGTTTATATATATAAATGAGTTTTTTTCAAGTTTTTATTTGCGTTCATTTGCAAAACATTTCATTGGGTACATCTTGGGTATAGAATCTGATTCTCGCTGTTTTCTATAAAAGATCGCAAATCTTTCGAATATATTGAAATTATGTTTATTAAAGTCCAGTTATAAGCTGCAATCATGACAAATTTAAGGATTGAATCTGAAATAACAATTTATTTATTGATATCCTRCATATATAAGTTAACAGCCAGAATTTCTTCAATGTTGACTGTATTAAAGAACTATAAGATTTTTAAAAGTTACTATAATTTGTGTAATATAGTCCATTGCAATGATATAGTTCTCATTGACCTATGATTTTGTGCAGTCAGTAGATGATGAAGACAAAACCTAATTACCACAATTTCGGTATGAAAATTACTTTCTCTTTTTCAACTGAGCTCACGTGCAAAGCGTGATTGTGTTACAGCATGTATGTTCTATATTGATGCACTCATTCAGCTGGGGTAAAAAACTTTTTGGATCCGTCAACATTTCTCCGATTGGATGTATGCAACGATAAAGCTTTAATGATGAGCAATGACCATAGTGTACCGTATCTGATCTTTTCCGTTTGTTTTTCTCTCTGTAGAAGTCTGCATCTTCGAGAGAAGGGTCTACAACGTTGGTGAGAAGTTTGTCGATTCAAAGTGTACAATGAGATGCACGTGCCACAGAAAAAATCGAGTAGCATGCTCTTCACTTTGTCCCCCGTCGACGATAAGATGTCAAAGTAACCAGACTTTAACACAGAAAATAGTTCCAGCAGGTCCCAAAAATCAATGCTTTTGTAGTCGGTCGATTTGTGTTGATAACATTGACGTTTGAATTTTAACCATTAAAAATAACAAACATACTTTTATTGACTCAATAACGGTATGCGCATGCCTTGAATCCTGATAAAGTAGCCGGCCAGTCCCTGCGCGTGATCAATCTTACGGTAAGAATTTTGCTGTATATGAAGGTGAAAGCAGTTTTGCGGAATTAGAAGCTCACATTATCTGGAGTGTAGATTACGTCACATCAAAAAAACCCGCTGACCCCTTGCATTGAACCTAAATGATATAGTTATCAAATCATTGAATTATTGTAAATACTGTCTTATTGTGTTAGGGTAGAATGTACAATATYAGAAGTTCTCATAACTGTCCATATAATCTCTATTATAATCCCGTCACCAGTAGATTTATTTATTTATTTAACTACTAATTTTTCAGCCAAAAGTCAGTTAACTATTACATGAACCCCATTGACACCCTCTGAAACTGTTTTATTGCTCTTTTTTGTTTTTAATTTGGCAGAGTAAGGTGCTTGTAACAAAAAAGATAAATAAGTATAAAAATTTTCCAAATATTTGGTAAAGAAATAGAGCCAGAGGGCTAAATGAATTGATAAGTTTTCATAGTTAATATAGCCCCCTGTCTTAACGGCTGCGAGGAGACGATGGTAGAGATAGACACTTCCTGATAATGTAACGCTGAAAATGCGATGCTATTTATACATGGCTTAGAGCTAGAACAGGTTAGTTCACATCGGTATTCAGGGCAAACTCAATGTCGATAAGTATACTAAGAGTCTAGTAATCATAACACAAGAAAGTACTGCATGATGGACGTGAAAAAACATATTATTAAAAGTTATAGAGTCAAGACTGTTAACAGAAAAAAATAGATATGTTATTCTTCTATCATTTTGAATTTTATTGTAAAGTTACTTGCTTTGTGACTCGATTCGTAATAACATACTCGTACGTTCAGGGACTAGTTTCCAGGCTACCCGGTATTATCAAGTGCCTTTCTCAAAATAGTGACGTCAACAAAAATAACATTATTYGGCAGCTGCAGTGGAGTTTGCTGCTTCATTTTCTGGACGTTGAACTCAAAATCACACCATAATGTGGATATGTAAGACTAAATTCTTGCTTTCTTTCTATGGTAAGTTAATTTAAAGGCCTGTTATTTTGTTTCTCTTATCTAACGTTTCGGTAGATCATGTTCTAGTCTTAATCAGTTGCTAAATTGGGAAAATTTCGACTTTAAACGTCAATGTATGTATACCGTGTTGCTTTTTTATCGCTCAAGCAACTTTCTTATCAAATTTGACAACCGGAAAACGATTAATATGCTTTTTTTCATCTTTTTTTCATCTTTGGCTTTAAATGGTCTTATCAAGCTTGACAACCATAAAATTTCATTAATTCACTTTACTCCGCAAACCTAAAACATCGTAGAACTGTGTTTACTCCTGCCTTGCCAAGAAGAATTGAAGTTACTCCTCGACGAAACTTCAGCTCAAGCTAGTTTTATTGCATGTTATTGAACGCCGKCATGCAGCTAGTTTGTGTTGTCAAATATAGATTCATCAGCTATCATTTCGGCGKGTTCTTTCGAACGAGTGTGGAGTAATTTATGAAAAACTTAGTAATTACATAATTGTTTTCACTTGGAAAACTTATAAGATCTTTTTGCAATCGTTCTCTAGGATACTGTTGATTGTGCTCGTTTGGTTTATACTATACGGTCTGTAGATCTTCCATAAGTCTTTTGTATGTCGAAATGCAGAGTAAGAGTAATTTACTTCGCTTATTATAGCTTTATAAGTCAACATTGAATAATTATATTCCCTCTTCGTTTAAATTGAATAGCGAAATTCAACTTTGAAGCGAAACTTATGAAGTGAAGTCTTCATATAGCTGCCATAGCAACTCTTTGTTTTTACGTTACTGAATTCATTATTAATGTAAATTCTTTGTACTTGGCCTATGGTGTTTTGTTGTATTTCGTGACCTAAGCCCAGGTCAAGCTTTAAAAAATATTTACCCTCCAAGGTCAGTAAGCCCTTAAGCATTGACAGAAAATAGAAAAAACATAAAACGAGAACAACAAGGGAAGAAATGTTTTGTCATATCGTGTTTTATTCTATACAAATAAAGGTAATGTATTTTTGTTGTTATCGAAACTAGTAAAGGCCGAAAGAGAGAGAAAGTATTAAGAACTAGACGCTTGTAAAGCGTGATGCGGGCTAGCTTAGCAAAAGATTCACAATACAAGATAAAAATTGTATCTCCAATGAATATTGTGACTATGACGTAACTATATATGAAAGTAAAATATGCCGTCGAATACCTTAGTTTTCTTTGCAGTTCAATTCTTATCGTTAACCTTCACTGTCTGCTATAATCTTATCATATATNCATAAGTCTTTTGTATGTCGAAATGCAGAGTAAGAGTAATTTACTTCGCTTATTATAGCTTTATAAGTCAACATTGAATAATTATATTCCCTCTTCGTTTAAATTGAATAGCGAAATTCAACTTTGAAGCGAAACTTATGAAGTGAAGTCTTCATATAGCTGCCATAGCAACTCTTTGTTTTTACGTTACTGAATTCATTATTAATGTAAATTCTTTGTACTTGGCCTATGGTGTTTTGTTGTATTTCGTGACCTAAGCCCAGGTCAAGCTTTAAAAAATATTTACCCTCCAAGGTCAGTAAGCCCTTAAGCATTGACAGAAAATAGAAAAAACATAAAACGAGAACAACAAGGGAAGAAATGTTTTGTCATATCGTGTTTTATTCTATACAAATAAAGGTAATGTATTTTTGTTGTTATCGAAACTAGTAAAGGCCGAAAGAGAGAGAAAGTATTAAGAACTAGACGCTTGTAAAGCGTGATGCGGGCTAGCTTAGCAAAAGATTCACAATACAAGATAAAAATTGTATCTCCAATGAATATTGTGACTATGACGTAACTATATATGAAAGTAAAATATGCCGATGAATACCTTAGTTTTCTTTGCAGTTCAATTCTTATCGTTAACCTTCACTGTCTGCTATAATCTTATCATAAGCTATATCAACTATCAACCATAATCTTTGTGCTATAGTGATTGTCCTACATTTGCAATGTATTTTGTAAAAATATTTATGGAAGCTCTTTACTTCTTGGTTAGCGATATCACATCTATTATTATTTACATAACAATGCATTTTAGATGGCATGAGTGCATTCTTTAAATTTTGTTTTTATTAGCCTTTCTTTCGTACAAAAGAAATCTAAAAATTGAAGCAAAACAAAGCTCAATTTCAAAACTTGTACTTTGTCATTTTTAACTAATAAAAAAACCCGATGATATTAAAGCAATTTCTTTGAATTTAAACAATAAAAACATTGTCAATTAAACAGAAGAATACCTTTTGCTGTCTATAAATGTGGTAAAAAAGCCAGTATTTGAGCTGATTTCATTTTGAAGCTGTACTGAATAATCATCGAGCTGGACTGGTGAGGAAGGCGAGACTATTTTCGATGCAAAATCGTCTTAAAATGATAACTAGCAAGCTTGAAACTTCACAAATGCAAAATCCTAGTTCAATTCTTCAATGAGAAAGCTTTTGGTATTTCTTGTTGATAGTTTTTGAGTACTTTTTTCTCTGTTATCGGCGAAGTACCCGCCATTTTGGATTCTTGAGAAAATTTTCAGTTCGAGAGAGACTGCAAACTAATAGATATGGCTTCCTGTGGTTCGACAGAGTGCGAAGGCAGTTGAAGGTAGTTGATTCCATAATTATAATCCGGCGTTTTCCCTTTCCGACGCGAGTGACCCCTGTTTTTACAACTTCTTTGCGCCTTTGCTCGAGCAGACCGTATAACCCGCCCMTGCCGTACCCCCAAAAGAAAAGAAGCAATACGATGGCCGGATTTCGCACGCTTTCCATTTTCTCGCTCTTTTACCGCTGGTGTTTTAGTCAATCTTCTGGCTCTTTTTCATTGGGTCATATGTGCATATGTCATAAAATGCCTATGACTTATGGTCGGGCCGTACGGAAAAATATTTGACTTTCAGTCATTTGTGGGGACCTCGAGTCCAAATATTTTCCCGTGAGACCCTCCCACTTAGTCAATAAGTGCATAATATTTTATTTGAACTACATTTTATGTCTTTCTGGTTTCAGTCGTGTTCTTAACATTTGCTCGTGTCAAAGGATATATGTCCAGTAAGTATTTTTTGTTTTGTTTCTTTTTCACACCGATAAGTCATCATTATGCCATGTTCAGGGTCGTAGCGCCCTATATGCTGTGCGAATTTTAAAAATTTGTTGAAACTTTGAAATTGTATTTTACTGATAACTATTTTTGAAGTGGAATGAATTGGCAGAGCTCATTCTAAAGCTGCGTACATGTATTTGGATATTTTGGGAACCGTCTAGAAAAAAAAACAACACCAAAAACGATTGGCGTGTCCTGATATCTTTGAAAACGCTTTTTGATAATTTAACGCGCTTCTATGGGTAGTTAAACGCCAASACGAATACGTAGTTTACTAAAATTAACAAAATGCAAGGTTGGCTCATCCACTGGCYACTAAATTTATCTCCATTTTTTATCGTCAGAATGTGGTGGCGCATTGTATCTTCGAAATGCAGACAGTTTCTCCAGAAGTTATACCCCATATAACTACTATCCACCTAGTGATTGGTGCAGATGGAAAATAACAGCGCCCTTATTTAAGGTTGTCAAGTTGACTTTCACAAGCTTCAATTTGGAGTCGTCGTCGTACTGTAATAACGACTACCTTTCAGTATACGATGGTTCGAGTGATACCAGTTCAATCATTGGTAAATTCTGCGGAACGAGGAAACCTCCTGTCATCATTTCCAAGGGAAGATATCTTTATTTGAAGTTCAAGAGCAATAGTTACTCTAATTATCGAGGATTTACTATTACGTATTCAGCTCAGTCCCCAGGTAAATACAAATCTTCGGTGTAACCTCTACTATAAACAGACCTTCGAGATCAACCTTGCAAGGCTGACTGGAAGGGTTACGAGTATGTGTTTCATCTGTTAAAGGATCAATTTCTTGATCGGTTTTTGAGTTTGTTTTTGTTCAAAATTGTGATCCCTGATCTCCCAATTTGCGTTATTCCATTTATTCGTGCATCTGATCTCATTTTAAACAATTAATGATCCCGAAACCAGCGGTTGTGATCCCAATATGAGATTCTGATCCCTGATGCCATTTCATTCAGACCGGGTGTATTTTTTTGTTTAACAGCTACCTCCTACACCAAATGCACCCTCAAGAACAGTTTCGCAAATAACAACAATATAGTACTTACCTCGTCAAGTGGCTACATCTACAGCCCTGAATACCCGTCTTACTACCCAAGCAGTATGCAGTGTACATGGAAAATCAAAGTACAAAGCGGAAAGAAGATCAAGCTCTACTTCGAATACATGAACGTTTGGAGTAGTATATTCTGCACAAATGATTACCTTCGAATTCGTGACGGGTACTATTCAACGAGCACGAAGAAGGGCGACTACTGTGGGACAACTCGAAGGACAATCTATTCATCCGGACGGTACCTTTGGTTACGCTTTGTATCCGACTCATCATTCAATTCCAAAGGGTTTAAGTTAAGGTATACTACCGAGAGTGAAGGCAGTGGTAAGTATTTCAGTTTCTTCTTGAATTATAGCCCACTTTCGATGTTTAGTTTGATCTATTCATTGGAGACAAGTCTCGGGAGCAAGAGATATTTCTTTTGTTTTCTCTTAGCCTCGCCTTAGATCAATTCCACCAAAATATCCGAAATAGAATTCTTTAGACTACTATATTATGCTCCGATTAATTGTTTAGCGGATTCGTCGATGTATATAAACAATGCACATTTATTTCAGGTTCAGTCGGTGTAATCATTGGAATCATCATTGGCATCGCAGTCATCGTTGCTGTAATCGTCATCATAGTGTWCTGCACTAAAAAGAACAGACGAGGAGTGGTTAYCAGAGGGRCTCCTTCAACGATAACCACCACAACAGTCACCACAGCTCCTCAACCCCAGGGCGTGGCTCTACAGCCTGTTGGTCAAGCCCCTCCTCCTTATCAGAACCCGTACCCACAAAAAGCTGGACATCCTCCTCATGGCTACGCAGGACCGCCTCCTCAAGGATATGCAGGACCACCTCCTCAAGGATATGCAGGACCACCCCCTCAAGGATATGCAGGTCCACCCCCTCAAGGCTACGCTGGCCCAGCCCCTCAAGGCTATGCAGGTCCTCCCCCTCAAGGCTACGCTGGCCCACCTCCTCAAGACTACGCTGTCCCACCCCCTCAAGGCTACCCTGGCCCACCTCCTCAAGGCTACTCTGGTCCATCCCCTCAAGGCTTCCAGCTGGGACCACCACCAATGGGACCACCAGCTCAAACTTCTGGTCCTACGAATGTATCTATATAGAACAGAAAGCAGTAGGTAAAGCTGTCCTTTGCCATCGTGGTATTTCATCATACATTTTCTTTCGTATCCCACACAGTCCATTGCGCTCTTACCCTGAATTATCTTTTATATAGAAATCTGTGTCTTAACCTGTAAGGTTAAGGCTGCACAAATAAAATCTCGAAACTGGAGTATTACAACAATTTCRGTATGAAAATCTCTCTCTCTTTTTCAACGCGCACGCGCAAARCCTGATTGTGTTACAGTGTGTATGTTCAATATCGACGCACGCCAAGCCAATCAGCGCAAATAACTCATTCAGCTGAGGTAAAAAACATTTTTTGAACCCGTCAACGTTTCTCCTATTGGATGTATGCAACGATAAAGCTTTTTAAAAGTGACCATATGAGCAATGACCGGCATAGTGTACCGTATCTGATCTTTTCCATTTGTTCACCCCTCTATAGAAGTCTGCATCAAAGAAGGGTCTTCAATGTCGGTGAGAAGTTTGTCGATTCAAGTGTACAATGAAATGCACGTGCCACAGAAAAAATCGAGTGGCATGCTCTTCACTTTGTCCCCCGTCGACGATAAGATGTCAACCTATCAGAGTGCAACACACAAAATAGTTCAAACAGGTCCCAAAAATCAGTGCTTTAGTAGTCGGTCGATTTGTGTTGATAACATTGACGTATAGAGTTTAACCATTAAAAATAACAAACATACTTTTATTGACTCAATAACGGTATGCGCATGCCTTGAATCCTGATAAAATAGTAAGTCCCTGCGCGTGATGATCAGCAATCTTACGGTAAGAATTTTGCTGTAGTGAAGCTGAAAACAGTTGCGGCAGAAGCTCACATTATCTTCGGTGTAGATTGACGTCACATCAAATAAACCGCTGAAAACATGGATTGAACCTAAATTATATTGTTATTGAATTATTGTAAATATGTCTCGTGCCAGGGAATGTACAATGTCAGACGTTTCTCAGCACTGTCCATATATCTCTATTATAATCCAGTCACCAGTAGATTGATWTATAACGCTCCAAAATTCACAATGGAAAAAGGTATAAAATTTCCCTTTAGTAAATACTTTATTGTCTCTCCGTCTCGACTCGTCAGCGACTACATTTCTTTTTGAATTCTTTCTGGAAGTAGAACAGAAGAGGGCCACTCAGATGCCGTGTAATATATTGATTGGTTGTTTAAAAATAAAAAATTATCTGCACATTCAGAATTAAAGTGACGGGTCTACGGTAGTCTCATCTCAAGCCGTCATGAGGCTCGTTCCCAGGTCTCTCCCTCATAACGGCTTCCARGAGACTAGCWAGGATTACTGTAGAGTCRGAGACTTCCTGGTTATCACAATACGTTGTTTACAAAACGTTGTTAACTTAGTATTAAGTCAAAGAMGTTTAACAGRAAAAWAAATTATATATGTATATGTTATTTGAAYACATTAAAATATTCCACATTGATTCATTGTATCAAATTGATCATGTTGACATGTAGACTGATTCCATAAGTCGTAGTTTTCGCTCCTCGGTTTTTCCAGTTTGTTACGCAGCGACTTATCCGTTTTATACCAAATGTTTGTGCAAACCACAACAAGGGTCAGTGCATAATTAATTTGCCGGAAGTACATTTCAGCGACGTGATTGGAGGTCGCCGCTATGTGGCGATGGCGATCATTTGGTAACAAAATTCCTTAAAAGTCGGACCCATGAGCGACAAAAACTATTGGACAGAGAGCGAACTGGGACCGACTTATGGAAGCAGTCTAGTTGAAATGTTATTGTGAATTTATTTGCTCTTTGTGAATCGTCGTACTGTCCTGCAGCCGATTTATATTTTTCAAAATTAAAGTAAAACGCTGGATGAAACTCAGGCAATTGGTACCAACATTGTCGCAMTTTCAGGGAATTGTTTCCAGGCTACCTGGTATTATCAAGTGCCTATTCTACAGCAGCTGCAGCGGAGTTGAGTCCCTCATTTTCTGGACGTAGACTCAAATTACACCATAATGTGGATATGTAAGACTAAATTCTTGCTTTCTTTTTATGGTAAGTTCATGTCAGGACCTGTTATTTTGTTTTTCTTATCTAACGCTTCGTTTTGACATTTATGTTTACTTCTATAAGCTATGATTTTGACAATGGTATATTTTGACATACAGTGAGAGGTCCGTGAGATAATTTCAACTTTAAAAGTCAATGTATACCGTGTTGTTTTTTTAGTTATCGCTCAAACAATTTTCTTACTGATCACATTTGACCGACAGAAAACGATAAATCTGCTTTTTTCATCAGTGTTATGTAATTTTGGAAATCATTGGGTTTTATCACTCCATGAAACCATAAAATTTCATTAATTCGCTTTACGACAAAGCTAACAACGTTGAACTGTGTTTAGCTGCTTAGCCAAAAGAATTGAAGTTGCTTTCGAGTCGTTTAGGCCCCTGGAAACTTCTCAGCTCAAGTTTTATTGAACACATGCAGCTGGTTTGTTTGTTCGAATACATGTAAATTCCAGATATCATTTCAGATTCTATTTTGAGTTTATAGTATTTTTTAGTGTCGAGTACTTCATGAAAACCTTGTTTTGCATATATTTGATTTTCACTTGAAAACCTTAAGATCTTCTATCATTGTAGGCATAGTTATTAAAGGGCTACTTGGACGAAAATTGCGAAACATTAGAAAAGACTTGGAAATCAAATAGACCTATCCATATGGGTCTAATGATCAGGAAGCAACAGATTTCAAGAGAATATTGATGCAAATCCTTAATAATTTGTGCAAAAAATGTTGGAGTAGATGACGTCATCTACTCAATCGCCATTTAATAGCTTTGTCAAGTTAACTTTCACAAGCTTCAATTTAGAGTCTTCTTTGTATTGCCAAAACGACTACCTCTTAGTGTACGATGGTTGGAGTGATAAAAGTTTAAGAATTGGTAAATACTGCGGGACGCGATCAATTCCTGTCATCATTTCTACGGGACAATATCTTTATTTGATGTTCAAAAGCGATAGTACCTCTAATTATAAAGGATTTACTATGACGTATATAGCTGAGTCCCGACGATACACACAAGGTAATGCAAATATTGGCCATTGGTTGGGTTCTAGATTAAAAATGATCACTGAGTGTTCAGTTGATAAATCTTCTTAAAATTGAAAAAGTAATACCAATTGTCAGTTAAAGTTGTTTTTGTCATTTTCTACATTATGGTTGTTATTTGTGTTGGATTTAAGATAAAGAAAATAATGAAAATTTTGAATAAAACTTAAGCCCGCCCCCTTCCCCTCAACCCCTCTTTTAATTAGGTAATTTCACTTTAAGCCCCCTATCTGGGAATCAATTTGTCAATTGTCGTAGTGCTATTAGCACTTCTGCTCATGGGTAATTGTGTGATCATAGTTTGTATACTATAGTTTCTTTTTATACAGTGCAATGACGAACCAGCTTCGTAGCCGAAGTCCCGAATACATTGCAGCCTCTTTTATTCAGCAATTCAAGTGTATTTTTTGTTTAACAGCTCCTACTAACTCAACTCCAGCAAAACAAATTAATCTCAGCAAATGCACCCCCATGAACAGTTACACAGATAACAACAATATATTACTTAATTCGTCAAGTGGCTACATCTACAGCCCTAAATACCCGTCTAACTACCCAAAAGAGATACGGTGCACATGGAAAATCGAAGTACAAAAAGAAAAGAAGATCAAACTCTACTTTGAATACATGAACATTCGGAGTAGTCCATTCTGCAAAGATACCTACCTTCGAATTCGTGACGGGTACTATTCAACAAGTACGAAAATGGGCGACTACTGCGAGACTGTTAACGGGACTTCTATCCATTCATCCGGACAGCACCTTTGGTTACGCTTTGCAACCAACACAGCATACACTTCAAAAGGGTTTAAGTTAAAGTATACAACTACCGAGGGTGAAGGCAGTGGTAAGTATTTAAATTTCTATTTCAGTTTTCGTAATAGCAAACCGAAATTTAAATATTGACTAATCTCGCACAAGTGAATTGAAGACGAGGCCCTGGGAGAGCAAGAGATATTTCTTTTGTTTCCTTTGAGACTCGCCTTAGATCGATCCATTTCACCACAATACCCAAGAATGATTATTTTAACTACTTATTTTTTTTCTGAATAAATGTTTAGCGGATTCGTCGATGTACATTTATTTCAGGTTCAGTCGGTGTGATCGTTGGAATCATCATTGGCATCGCAGTCATCGTTGCTGTCATCGTCATCATAGTGTACTGCACTAAAAAGAATCGACGAGGAGCAGTTACCACAGGGGCTCCTTCAACGATAACCACCACAACAGTCACCACAGCTCCT